GTTTTATTGGCACACAGGCTCTCACATTTAGATAACGTTCTTGGAGGCTTCTTTTTTTTTTCTTCCTGAGTCAATATCTTGCTAGGTTGCCCAGGCTGCCCTTAAATTCACAATCCTCCTGTCTCCATAGCCTGTGTGCTGGGGTTACAGGCGTGAGCCACCACACCTGGCAAGACAGTTTTCTTGAGGGGACAGAAACTGACTTACAACCCTGAAAAAAATGTTTTCTGTTCAGTCATTTACAGAGGAAACTGCTGCCTTAATGAATAAGACAAACAACAAATATACCAATAGACATTAGTAGACATTCCTGTTAGAAATATCACAAAGAAAGGATAAGATGGGGCTGTAGTTAGGGAGTAGCCAGTAGGGTGACTTTAGGCAGGTAGTCAGGAAGACTGGGTAGAGTTGAGACCTAAAGGAAGCTAGCTGGGTGGCGGCAAAAGGGAAAAGCATTCTGAAAAGGAGAAACAGTAAGTGCAAAGGTCCTGAGACAGGGAAGGTGGTTATGCCTGAGCATGGCAGACAGGAAGAAAGAGGGAACAGAGCAAGGTGGCTTCAGGAAAGGTAAAGAAGTTTTCCCAAGGGTGAGTTGAAGCCATGGGAAGGTTCTAGGCGGGGTAAGAACATTTTTTATTTTTTATTTTGGTTTTTTAGTCTTCTTGATTTTGTAACAGACTTTATTTTCTAGAGCAGCTTTCCGTTGCAGAGTAAGAGAAGGCAGGAGATTTCCCACACAACTCGTCTTCACAGGGAAGGCTGTCAGTTTAAGGAGTACCTTGAGGACAGAAGAGTGAACAGTGACAGGACCCACGGCTCCCCATGTTATCTAACCAGCCCACACCCAGCAGGGATAGCCCTCTAAGAACAGCTCAGCCACAACTTAGAACTGAGTTAGTTATGGAGGTGGAGGGAATAACTTGGCTTAGTGGTTTGGTTTTGTTTGTTTTTTCAGGACTAGGCCCCTTGCACGCTGGATGCACACTGTGCCCTGGCGCATGCGTGCACACGTGCAGCTCCGTGCTCCTTCATGCCCCAGCCGAAAACACCCACAGGCACTCAGGGCCACCCCAGGACAGCAGGGGCACTGCTGCTCAGGAAAACACCAGGATTTGCAGAAGGAGAGTGGATGAGGAAAGTGCAGATGGAATTGTCAGATGCGGGTGGCAGGGAAGGTATGGAAGACCCTCTCCAGATAGCCAGGAAAGTCTGGGTCCAGGGACTCAGAGGCTAGAGAAACCAAGAAGATCTCTGGCCAGCATAGGTGGGCACGAGTGGCAAGCAGCTCCCCTCTTCCCTGCGAGGAAAATGCAGGCCATGGAGGAATGAACAGCAGCGCTGAGGAGCAGGAACAGGACCTGGATTTCTGTGTCCTGAGCAGCTCACTCTCGCAGAGCAGCGAGGGAAGGACAAAGGAAACAGAAGTCCCGGAAGATGGGGCAGAGGGGTCCCCTCCAGAACCTCAGCGGCCTTGAGTTAAAGGCTGAGCCTGGGTTCCCAGCTGGAGGTGACTGTGCCCCAGGGACCCCAGGCCTAAGGACTCATGTGACAATGGGTCTGAGGAGTTCCTGGGATGAAGCCGGGGTCAGCCTCAGCAGCACTGGGACATGGGGGAGGGGGATAAGCAGGCCACTGAGTCCACAGAGCAGACACACAAGAGCCAGAGCCCTGAACAGGAAAAGGGCTTCAAGGTCCTGAGAGCCACCTGGAGAAGCCCAAGCAGCGCCCAGAACCCAGGCCAGCCCCTCCCTCTGTGTGTGTGCGCCCACGTGGGGTAGGAGGCTAGCCCACATTCGGCCCTTCTTCTGCCCCTAGTTCTAGTCCTAAGCCAACAGCAGAGAGGCCTCTGGTGTGGGAGGAGTCTAGAGCCCCTCCAGGCAGCCGCATGGCAGGTCTCTGGAGCCCTGCCTGGAGCTGGAGTTGAAACTGTCCTGAGGGCTGGCCATCTGTCACCGTTTGGCCAGCTCAGGCCTGTGGCCCAGAGTTCTGTTCTCCCCACTAGCTCCCACCAGTGGGCTGTGAAAGCTGAAACCTCCACCTTGGCTCCTGGGGCAAGTGACTGGCCCAGGGCCACGCAGCTCAGCACCCACACTACCTGGAAGCAGGGGTGAGAAGTATCCGCCTGCCCACACCTCAGTCTCCCTCCCACACAGCCTCCTCCTCCTCCCAGCTCCCTCCCGCCTCGGCCTCCACCGGGCCTGCCCAGGACTCAATGCCCAACCCCCACAGGCCAGGTGAATCCTCACAGGTGTCAGATGACAGGACAGATGGCTCCTGAGGGCTGAGGCTCCAGGGCCCATTGGGGGAAGGGGCAGGCACAGGACAAACAGAACTGGAGACTGAGAGGAAAATCAGGAGTGAGATCTAGGCAGAGCGCTCAAGTGAGCCCTGGGAGTGCAGAGGGTGACCCTGCCGATCCAGGAGCCTCCCACGATAAGGGACAGGATGGAGGACAGCCGGGGCCCTGAGGGCAAATGTATCAGTGACTTGGCCAAACTCTAGCACTTAGGTCTTTACTGCCCCACTCCCCAGATATGAAGGAATTAGAAAATCAGTTGTATCTAAGCCTCCATATAGTCTACACCTACCACACACACATACACACACTCACGCACATGCACATACATACTCATGCACACTGACTTGATTTTCTTCCTGGTCTCCGTGTGTACTCAAACACAAGTACACTCAAGTGTGTACATGCACATACATACACACAGTCACATTACTCACATGTGCATGCACAATGCACTCACAAGTACCCCCCACACAAATATGTGCATTCAGATGTGCACGTATGTACACATACATGCACTCACATTCACACGTACATGCGTGTGTGCACAAACACTCATACTGCACACATGTGGGCATACGTAAGTGATCATGTATAACCACATTTACATACCTGGGTACCTGGACACACACCTGTGCATGAAATACATGTATGTATCTGCATGCAAACACCTGCACACATTTGATCACACACACACTGGCATGTACTCATGTGCATGCATTGTTCCCAAATGTGCATGTGCAAATGTGCATTGTGTAAATGTGCATATATGCCTATGCACACACGTTCACACTGGCATGCACCTATGCATTTATGTGTGCATGCACGTATACGCACATACAAGCACACCTCACACTTCCATCCCAAACACCTGCATCTTTTGTGCACCAAGTTTCACCTTTCCCTTTCCTGGGGCTCAGTGACCTCCACCAGGCCAGAACAGAGGGGAGCACTAACACCTGCCTAGCAAGTTTTAGTAAACACGCGCTCAACACAAAGCATAAGAAGCTGACCCTGCCACTCCGCACTCTCTCCTTCAAGGGTTTGGAAAAATTAAAGGCAAAGCTGACTGACTGCCTTGGTTTCCCAGAGTGCCAAGAAAATGCTGGCCACTCTGCTGACACGCCCTCGCCTGGCTCTCCAGGCAGCTATTAGGTGAGAATTAGGGGGGTCATTAGTTCTGGCAGGGTAGCACCAAAGCCCACAGGAGTCAGCTAATGAGCCCATTTGAACAGAGTGATGTTGCAAGGCGCCCTCTCCAGCACAGGGACAGCAGGATAATCGGCTGGGGGTGGGGGTGGGGGTGAGATGTGCAAGCCGACCCCAATCCCTTAGCATCTCGGGATCCGGGCAGGCACTCACTCAGGCGGGGCCCCAACAGGGACAGGCCAAACTGATGCCCTTGCCACAAACCCACACGGAAAAAAGACACTCTTCACCTATCCCGGGATGGACTCCACTGGGCTTAAGCCACCACCTCACTAGTTTAGCAACTTGTGTATGTGTGTTGGGGGGGGCGGGGGGAAACAGTTCCCCCAGGTGCCACTGAATTATTAAAAACCAAAGCATCCTCTCCCAGCTAGACAGCTGGGACGGCCCAAGAGCAGCCCTCCCCACCTCCCCCACCTGCGGGGGAGGGGACCTAGGAAACCCTTCTTCCACGGTGCTCAAGTGCACGCACACCCCATCCCGCCCTGCAGACCCCCCCAGCACCCAGCGCCGCCCCCGCCGCCTGGAAGCCCACGGGGCTGGGGAGGGGGTGGTGGAGGGGACTGTACAATTCATCTCCACAGAGAAAGGGGCTTCCTCTCCATGGCGATGTGCCTAAAGCATGAGGGACAGAGAGAGACGCATCTGGAAGCTGCCACCTAACAAGTAGGGTACATTTTCTTTTTCCCTCAAAATTAAAAAAAAAAAATCCAGATTGCATGATGGGGGGGAGGGGTACTCTGAGACATGGAGTGTGGGGCCGGGGTGGGGGGTGGGGGGACAAGTTTGGGAGCGATGATCGCACAGCAGGTTGACTTCGTGGAGAGGGTGGGCACAGAGAGATGGATGGGTATTATTTCGGAGATGTAGCTTCTGGGGTGTCCAAATTGGGGGGTGGGGGGGAGGGGGAAGAGGCGGGCTACCCTCTTTCTAGTCTTGGGTGCCCAAAGGGCTAGAAAGGCAGGCGGGAGGGCGTACCAAGGGCCTGGGGTGGGGAGGGGGGGGGAGGGTGTCTTGTATTTCTTATTTTCCTTTTAAAAAGAGATTATGATGAGGATTGTCTGGAATAATAAAGAGAAGCGCCCGACCCGGCCACCCACGCTGTCATCTTTTGTGCCCGGCTGGCAGGGCCGTCTGGGCCCAGCCCCCGCGCGCCCCCGGCCCGGCCCGGCCCGGGAAAGAGACGCCCCCGCCCCCGCCCCCGCCCAGGGCGCGCCCCGTCTTTGTCCGCCCCCCACCCACGGCCCGCCCGCCACCAACACCACCCCCCCACCCCCACAGCCCGGGCGGTTAACGCCCCCAACCGCCTTCGCGACCGGGACAAAGCGCGACGGCCGGGCCGAGCAGGCCGCGCCCGAGGCCTGGGCCTCGAGTCCCGGGCGCGCCCGCAGCCCCGAGCCGTGGCGCGGGGACGATGGGGCGGCGACGACGGGGGGGAGGGGGGGTGGCCCGCGCTCAGACGCGGCCCACAGGCCTGTCTCCCCCGCGGACTCACCTGAGGTGGCGCGCGCGGCCCAGCCAGCAACAGCGGCGCGCGCTCCACGCCCTCGGCGTCCGTCGCACCCCCAGGCCCAGCTCGGGCCGGGCCCTGCTCGGTCGCTGGCGGCCGAGCTCTCCGCGAGCGCCCCGGGCGGGGCTTATAAGGCAGAGCACCAACTCCGCCCTGGCTGCCATTGGTCATCGAGCCCACGCCCGCGCTCTCATTGGTTGTAGCTGACAGCTCCGCCCCTCCCCTCTGTCGGGCCCATCTACCCCTCAAGGTCCGCCTGCTGCACGTCGCAATTGGTCAGGCGTAGTGCCTGCCTCGCCAACTCATTGGCTGTCTGGAGGGGATCCGCCGGCACCCACTCACGTGCCCACTGACCGGCTCCGCTCTCATTGGGTGGGGAGCACGCCAACCAAGGCGTAGGCGACCAAACCGATGGTGTTAAACCGGGGATTGACATGGGCGACTTGGGGACCGCCCAAGCATTGCTCTGAGGGAAACAGGTATTGGCTTGTGAGATAAACTCGAGTTACCGATTGGCCGAATTGGATGCCGATCACTGTCCTCTAGCTCCGGGCCCCGCCCTGGTTATCAGGGGGAGACTGAGTACGTGAGAACCTGCACAACATCAGCACCAGGCCCTGGACTCTAGCAGTCACATGGTTCGAGACCCGTAGGTGGGTCTCGAAGATGCTGAATTCTCCAAATTGCAACCGAAAGCAAACCATTTTGCAAAAGGAAATGGAGAAATGGTCAGAAAACACGCACCAAGACCCCACCTCCCGTGCACCCAGCTTTTCCACCACTGTCGGCCCGGGTTCAACACCCTGGCAGGCCTAAGTTTGCCCTGTAAAGCAGCAACCACCGGTCTGATCCCCTCCTGGGGATCTTTCAAGAATAAACTAGACAATCTGCCTTGTCTAGATGCTTCCCAAAATGCTGGGCGACTTGGGAATTGAGCAACTCAGGGCCCAAGTTCTGGGTTCCTAAGGCCCCCTCCTAGCCCCCCCTCCCCGCATGGGTCCTAGCTTAGGGGGCACGGGTCCTAGATTGGGTCCTAGATTAGGCTCATCTCCGTGTTTTCTGCCATCATTGGTCACAAATGGCCAGTCAAGAGTGTGCACATTCTGGTTTTTGAGTAACATGTAAATGTGTCTTTCCTAGGCCTGGCTAGGGTCTCCAGGGAGGTCATGCACTTGGAATTATTCATATTCAGAGCTGCATTGCCGGGTGTCATAACTTGCCTGGTTAAATCCTCAGTAGGACTGGAGGACCTGAGACCCTCCATACTCTACAAAAGGGCATGCATCCATGCCTGGAAAATAAACATCCCCAGAGAAAATTAATCTGTGGGGAGAGATTGTTAATATCAGGGTTCAAAGGGGATTTGAGTCTGTTCTGGGGGTGTAAAAATCCTTATGGGACTATATTCCTCGAATTCCCAGTGGAGTTTAAATTTAATTTAAAAAATAGGCAATGCCCTGGAGAAGTTCCCTAACCAGTGGGGAAAAGGTGGGACTGGATAATGGGGAAATGGCATCCAAAGGCTATCTCAACAAAGGAATTTCCCCACACACCAGGGTTTTATTTCCTCTCTTCCAACTTTGGAAGGCAACAAATTCCAGATATTTAGACTTCACAAACTCTTGATTCTTTTTTAACTAGAGGACCTAAATATTGTCAACTTAGTTTTGCTCAAGATCACCTTTCTTTTCTTTTTTTTTGGGTCCGGTCATGGGGCCTGAACTCTGGGCCTGGGCGCTGTCCCTCAGCTCTTCAGCTCAAGGCTAGTGCTCTACCACTTGAGCCACAACGCCACTTCCGGCTTTTTTCTTTTTGCTTATGTGGTGCTGAGGAATCAAACCCAGGGCCTCAGGCATGCAAGGCAAGCGCTCTACCACTGAGCCATCTTCCCAGCCCCTACCTTTCTTTTCTTAATGTTGTGGGTCTTGAACTCGGTGCCTAGGCACTGTCCCTCAGCTCTTCAACTCAAAGTTAGCACTCTACTACTTGAGCCACAGGGCCATTTCCAGTTTTCTAGTGGTTTACTGGAGATAAGAGTCTCACAGGCTTTCCTGCCTGGGCTGGCTTTAAACCAGCCCAGGTCTCAGCCTCCTGATTAGCTAGGATTACAGGTCAATGAGACTTCTTTCCCCCCTTCAGTCATTGGGCCTGAACTCTGGGCCTGGGTACTGTCCCTCAGCACTTCAGCTCAAGACTAGCGCTCTACCAGTTGAGTCACAGTGCCACTTCCAGCTTTTTCTGCTTATTTGGTGCTGAGGAATGGAACCCAGGGCCTCATGCATGCAAGGTACTCTACCACTGAGCCACCTTCCCAGCCCCAGGTCCTTCCATGTTGTCCTGATCCTGGCTGTGTGATACTCTAGTATGTGATGGAACACATTTTAAAAACCCAGGCTGGCAAAAAAAAAAATGTCTCCTTGGGCTGGGAAGGTGGGTCAGTGACAGAGTGCTTGCCTGTTATGCATGAGGCCCTGGGTTCAATTCCTCAGCACCACATAAGCAGAAAAAGCTGGAAGTGGCGCTGTGGTTCAAGTGGTAGAGCATTAGCCTTGCTTGAGCTGAAGAACAGAGAGACTGTGCCCAGGCCCAGAGTTCAGGACTCATGACTGGCAAAAAAAAAAAAGGGGGGGGGAATACTGTGCTACTGTGCTCAGTGAGAGAAACGGACACAAAAGTTCTATAGTGTGTGGCTCCATTGACAGGAAAATGTCCAGGACAGGTGGATACAGAGACAGGCCCAAGGGGGCTAGGGAGTAGCTTGTTAATAGTAACAAAGTTGCTATTTTGTGAGGAGGAATGTTTCCAGGATTAAACACATAATATTTTGAATGTTTTAAACAATGAACTGTACACTTGGGCCAGAGAACTTTGTTGCATTAAGTATCTGAAAAGTTATATATAAAAAAGAAAACAAAAACAAAGACTCATCCCCATTGCCTTCTCCCATGGCAGGCATGATGCTTTTCTGAGACCTATTGTACATTTTCTGAGTAGTTTATTGGAGATAAGAGTCTAACAGACTTTTGTGCCAGGGCTGACTTTGAACCATAATCCTCAGATCTCAGACTTCTGAGTAGCTAGAATTACAGGTGTGAGCCACTGGTGCCCCAGCCCTAATCTTTCTTATGGAAAATAAACGGAATCCAGCTACAGAGAGGGAGACACAAACAAATCTATCTGTGAAAAACATTTATTCTCAAGCTAAAACCTGGACAAAGATTATTGAACTTCAGAAAAAAGGCTACACAGGATTTTCTTATTTCTTCCCTAATGCATTAACCAATCTAACAAAGGGGGGAGAAAAAACAAAAACAACACCACTTTTAAACCCAGAATTGCGCTGGTTTGTCTGTAGTTATGTGAAATTTCAGATATTCTTGTTCCAATGAGGTATCAGCTGCAAACTTTGGTAATATTAAGAAAAATGAACAAACCATTCAAAAAACATAAACCAAAACAACAAAAAAAAAACACCCTAAGTTACATCTTTCTTGGTACATATACAGTAACTACAAAAAAAATTCATTTCAAAGTGTTCTTGTTCAAACAGAAAAAACAAATCCCTCATCTTCTCAATCATTGAGTTACAAAGAAAAGGTGAATTTAAATGATCAAGAACTCAAACCATCCCCAAAACATGCCCAAGTGCGTCGGGAAGAACTGGATGGCCACTTTCTGAAATCTGATTGGCATTTTTCAACAATTCAGTGCTAAGAAGAACCCGTCTTTTTAGAAAAGGGTGGGCAGGCGGAAGGCACTTGGATGCATGGCGCTTACTCCTGGGGGCCCCGCTGTCCCCTGGAGTGGCACCCAGCCCCCTGACAGATGAGTCCAGCTGAGGTAGATTCTGCTTGGCCCCAGTGCTCTACCAATGGGGACAGAGGCCTTCCAGGCAGGTCTGGGGCTCCTACAGAGATGGCTTTCAGGTCATGGAGCCCCAATTTCTCCAAACACCTTGGTGACTGGAAGCTGGGCTGTCTCGGTGGCTTTTACTTCACAGGGGGACCGAACCCACAAGCCTTGCAAAGACTGTTCTCGGCATCCGGACACCATTTCCTGGGGGTCAGAGGCAACGGATTCTGCGAATTTGCTCGAGTCACGTAGAGCTTTTGGGGGCCCGCAGTTCCTAATTCCATCTTCAAACCATCGGGTTTTCTTTTCTGTCTTGCAGGTCAGTGGCAGGCTTTGTATTTTTATTTATTTAAAAATGCAAAATGCGGTGAAGTCCACCTTTCAGCCAGAATGTGAGAATTCCTCCAAACGTATAGATTCAATAACAACCAAAAAATGGGGGGGAAGGGGGCGCACGCTGGAGGGAGACAAGCCTTTGTAGGGAACTACCTGTTTAAATTAAGCCCACTAAGAGGAAACCAAGGGCCAGAGAGAACCGCGACCGGGCTGGGGTTCCAGGACGGGAGATGGGGTGGCATCACCGGCCGCTACCGTAGCCAGGGAAGAGCTGGTTGAGGACACTCTGCAGTGGCTGGTTCACCTCTGTGACGTAGCCGCGGCCCAGGTCGTAGCGGCAGGCCGGGCAGCTGAACACCTGGGCTCGGAAGGACCTGTCCAGGCAGTCCTGCAAGACACAGAGCAGGCAGGTGAAGAGAGCAGGCCCCCCTCCCCGCCCCCAGCCTTCCTCTAGGGAGACAGGGTCAGCCCAGTCAGAGCATAGAGGACAGGGCCTCCTCAACCCTCCGTCTTTTCTCCCCCCCCCTTTTTTGTGGGGGAGAGGGTGCTGATTGTGGGGCTTGAACCCTGGGCCTGGGCACTGTTCCTCAGCTCAAGGCTAGCGCTCTACCACTTGAGCCACAGCACCACTTCCGGCTTTTTCTGCTTATGTGGTGCTGAGGAATCAAAACCAGGGCCTCATGCATGCAAAACAAGCCCTCTACACTGAGCCACCTTCCCAGCCCTCTTTCTCCTTTTTATCCACTGGAACCCAGGCTTATCCCTCCATTCCCCACGAAGCAGGGAGAGTGAAGACTCAACTGGGCTCTGCTGGACTCCATGAGCCTTTCTCAACAAGCCTGGCACCCTGCAACCCTAGCTAGAAGCCCAGCACCTTGCACCTAGTAGGTGCTCAGTACACCAACTCTCCCACCCCTGTGAAGAAAGGCAGGAGGGAGGCATCACATAGCCAGGCCCATGACACTTCCCTGCCCAGCAGCTCCTCACACTGTGTTAGCCAAGGCCCACCTCCTCCAGGAAGCCCTCCTCCCTGCTCCCCACAGGCTGTAGTGAGGTCACAGGCCAAGCAAGACAATGGCGGCAGTGGCTAGAGGTGATGGGGAGGGCAGGTTCCCCTGGACATAGGGCCCACCAGGTCCTGAGGAAGGCCAAGGAAGGGCACACGTGGCAGAGCGGGTACCTCACCTTGCACACATTGTGCTTACACACGGTGGTGACGGGCCGGAACACCAGCTCCTGGCAGCAGATGCACTGGAAGGCCTCCTCCACTTTACTCAGGAACACCTGCAATTGGCCACCATGCATCCCCATGAGGTCAGGGTTGGGTCCCCGCCTCCTGGAGTCCTGGAGAAGGCCAGGCACCCAACAGGACGACGAAAGATTGAGGGGGGGTGGTGGGGGTGGGTAGGAGAAGAGGAGAATGTTACACAGGTACAGGGCTTCAGGGTGGGATGGAAGATTCTGGAAGGGGATGGATGGTAAAGTCAGCTGCACAGGCCCAGGAGGCACACAATACCTTGTAAGCAATGGGTCCATCTGGGCTGCGGGGGGGGGGGGGGGGGGGGGGGGGGGGCCGCGCATGTGGCGGAGGGAGCGGCGACTCACCGGCCCTTCGCTGAGCGACTTGAGGACCTCGTCCCACAGCTTGGCATTGCTCTGGTCCTCCCGGATGAGGCTGGTCTGCTGGGCTGTGAGGCTGTGTGGCTCCAGCTTGGTCTTCTTGCTGCTCCGGGTCACCGAGCTGGCCTGGCCTGGAGACAGCGATGCAGGCGGCCAAGGTGAGGGGCGCGGCTGGCTCTGGGCTGCGGGGCGGGGCAGGACGTGGGGGCAAGGGGACACCCACCTGTGGACTTCCGCTTCCACAAGCTCTGCGTGGGGGACGTGAGGGTCCCCTGCCCTGTGGCCGTGCTCCTGTTCTCCTTCTCCTTGTCCTTGTTGGCCAGGGCTTCCAAGTAGCCTTCAGGGTACTGCAGGAGAGGCACCAGGGGGGACACAGCGTGACGTGATGGGAGACCCACCTGCCAAGCTCAGCCAAAGCTGGACCAGCCCTGCCCCTACCCCAGCCCCTCAAAGGCGCCTAACGGCAGAATCCTGTACATCAAGGACATTGTCACTGGCCAGCAAGGAACTGTCAACCCAGCTGCTCAGCAGGCTGGACTGGAAGGATGGTGGTTCTTTGCCAGCCTGGACAAAAAGGAAACAGAACTTCATTTCAACATACCGGAAGTGGTGATGTCTACCTGTCATCCCAGCTATGGGGAAGACTGTAGTGTAGGCTGGGGCATGGCTCAAGCAGTAGAGGGCCTGCCTAGCCAAGTACAAGCCTCTGAGCTCAGATCCAAAGCCACCACACACATATTAAACATGTACATATACACACACACACACACACACACACACACACACACATATACACACACATATATATGTATGTATGTATGTAAAATAAATCATTCCCACTTTATTACCATCCACACCTATTTGTGGACGGATATCCATGTTTATGCACATATAGTAATGAATAACATGGGCTGGACGTGACTTAGTCGTTATCTCTGTGGGGGAGGCCCTGGGTCCAACCCTGAGACTGCAAGAAAAAAAGAAAACAAAACCCAAAGCAGGTGTGAACAAGGATTTCCTTCACAGTAGAGCCTGGTCTGTGGCCAGCACTGTGCAGCTGACCACTGTGTGTCAAGGAGCCCTTTCAGAGGACTGGAGGCGTGGCTTAGGAGGTAGAATGACAGCTAATGAGCAAAAGTGTCAGATAGAGTTGAAGTCCCCCAGTCTGAGACCAAAAAAAAAAAAGGAATCCCGGAATTCAAGGAAATCTTATTTTAAATAACTAGAGGCCTGGGGCCTTTTTTTCTGTGCTTTGTAGAACCCAAGCAAAGCCTTACACTGCTAGGCAGGCTTCAGCTACATTACCAGCCCAACAAATTTAAGATTTTTTTCGTGTGTGTGTGTGTGTGTGTGTGTGTGTGTGTGTGTGCTAGGCAGGCTTCAGCTACATTACCAGCCTAACAAATTTAAGATTTTTTTCGTGTGTGTGTGTGTGTGTGTGTGTGTGTGTGTGTGTGTGTGTGTGTGTGTACCCGTTGTTTGAACTCTTGGCCAGGCACTGGTGGCTCATACCTGTAACCCCAGCTACTCAGGAGGCTGAGATCGGAGGATTACAGTTTAAAGCCAGCCCCATCAGGAAAGTTCCAGAGAGCCTTATCTCCAATGAGACACCAAAAAGCTGGAAGTGGAGCTGTGGTTCAAGTAACAGAGAACTAGCCTTGAGTGAAGAAGCTCAAGGACAGTGAATGCTCAAAGCCCTGGGTTCAAGCCCCAGGACTGGCACCAAGTCTATTTACTAATAATAAAATGACTAAAAATATCCTCTCCGTTGGTTCTCTTTTCCCTAGATCTTTGGCAATTCCTTGGGTGCAGAAGTTCATTCAAATGACAGCCCCTGTAACCGCCTGGGGGGAGGGGCAGGCACTATCAGATTCTCAGTACCAATTAGGATTCCTTAAATAGCCCCACATTTATCAGCTGCGAAGCAAGTCTCCATGGTGGGAACAGGAGACACCAGAATTATAGTGTGAGGAATTTGATTTGAGGAATTTATTTTCTGTAATCTGCTCTTAGGAAACTGGCTGCAGAAAGGAGAGTCCTGCAGGACCCTGGGGGAACAACCTGCCTGTCTGTCTGCTTTCTGCCAGTTCTACCTGCGCTGATGCTGGAGCAGAGCAGGAGGGGAGGCAGCTCTAGCTGCAGGCAGGCCGCACTGGTAGGCAATGGCCCAGCAGGCCTGAGGCCCTGGGTTCCAATGTGGAACCACCAAATTAAAAAAAAAAAAAAGAAAAGAAAGAAAGAAACCACACATGAAAGACCTCAGGTCAGGCTTAGTAGCACACAATGATTGCCTCACTCAGGTGCCTGAGATCAGAGGATCTCAGTCCCAGTCCAGCCCAGAAAGACAAACCCATGATATTCCATCTCTAATTAACTAGCAAAATGCCAGGCTGGAGGCTTGGCTCAAGTGGTAGGTACACCAAGTAGAGGAGTTCAAAGCCTCGTAACAAAGAATTAATTATAAGGCAGAGAAGGTGGGGGCAAGCTAGAGAAAGACCAGATTTCAAACTCTCCACAAACACAGCTAACCAGGCTTGACTCCCCCTACGACAGGGACACAGACAAGAACATCAGCTGCTCACTACACAGCCCCTGGCCAAGGCCCAAGTGCTACTTTCTGGGGTCCTGGAAGGTCGTGCTGAAGGACAGGGACCCAGGAGAACCTTGGGCCTCTGAGGCCTTGTGTGCCTAAGTACCAACCCCCACACTCCACAGCCCTCCTGGGGAGCCCTGACACATATCACAGGCGGGGGTGCTCTGGGGCTTGCACGCACCTGCATGGTGAGCCCCAGCTTCTTGATTCGGTCCTTTCCCTGCTTGGTCCAGGGCCCAGGCTCACTGTCATCCCTCCGCAGCAGGTACCGCCACACCAGGAAGCCAGACTTGCCCTTCTCGGGCCAGTACTTCACCACCTGTGGCAGGGACAGAGAGCATCACGCAGGGCCCAGGGGTGCAGAGGGCAGGGCCCAGGGGTGCAGAGGGCAGGGCCCAGGCTCACCTTGTAGATGCCGTCATAGCGATTTCCCTCAGCTGGGGCGTACTTGCTATGCTTTCCACCCTTCATGTTCCGGACCACCCGGACAGGCTTCCCTGACCGCCAGTCCTTGGACTCCGCCCCTTTTACATCATCAATGGGCGCCGAGCAGTTGAGCGCCAAGGCCCTGTGGAGAGAGTCGGGCCCCCAGGTTGGAATGTTGTCTCCCCTAAAGAGAGGTACAATGGCCTCACGTGGCCCTCTGTGGTAACAGATCTTAGAGGGAGGAATGGGGACCAAATAGGATTCCACTGCATTTGGGGTTCCTGATGAGAAGAAGGCAAATAGTCGGGCTCTGGTGGCTCACACCTGTAAACCTAGCTTCTCAGGAGGCTGAGATAGAAGGACCACGGTTCAAGGCCAGTCCAGGCAGTAAAGTCTGCAAGACTCATCGCCAATTAACCACCAGGAAACTAAGTGGAGCTGTAGCTCAAAGTGGTAAGAGTACCAGCGTTGAGCACAAAAGCTCAGGAACAGCACCCAGGCCCTGAGTTCAAGCGCCAGTATATCCACCAAAAAAAAAAAAAATCCATTCCCCGCAGGTAAAACAGGGTGAATTTCAGCTTACTTCCTGATTCACTAATCCAAAGCCAGCCTGCTCATCCCCTCAGGGCCCATGGCTGCTTTTGCGCTAGGATGGCAGAACCCCATAGTTGCAGTCAATGGAAGCCAAAAAACCCCTGTGGCCTTGGACAAGACATTTGCTTTGGTTCCCCTAGATAACAGAGGCCCTCAGCAAATAGACAAGAGGTTGAAGGTGTGGCCTAGCAGGATTGAACCAACCTAGCAATCACATTGAGTTCAATCCTCAGAACTGCGTTAAGTAAATAAATATCCAACATCTACTCTCACTCACTGGCCATCATGCCAAGACCAAAACCAAGCACAGGACAGACAAGGACGGACAGAGAAAGAAATGTGTTCTCCACAAACCTGTTGGTGTTGGTGAGTTTCTGGTCACATGACTGTTCTGCAGTCCGCTTGTTACCAGAAAGGTCTCGCCCTCCACTCCCTGTGTATGTGAAAAAATTCCCATGGTCCTAGGACAGACAAGAGGCAGAAGTGAGCCAGGCAATGGTGCTCACCCTGTAATCCTAGCTACTCAGAGGCTGAGATCTGGAGGATGAGGGGGTTCAAGGCCTGGGCAGAAAAGTTTCAGAGACCCTATCATAACAGTAGCTGGGAGCTGTGGCACACACCTGATATCTCAGCTTCTGGAGGAAGTAAAAAATAAGTAGATTGACTGGGCACTAGTAGCTCACACCTATAACTCTAGGGAAGCTGGGGCAGAGGAGATGCAGGCAGAAAAAAAAGTCTCTCTGGGGAGGTGGGGGGAGTCCATGAAATTGATGGTTGCTTTGGACACCAATGGCTCATGCCTATAATCCCAGCTACTGGGGAGTCTGAGATCTGAAAATTATGGCTCAACGCTAGCCCAAGCAAGAACGTCCATGAGACTCTTATCTCCAATTAACCACCAAAAAACAGAAGTAAAGCTGTGGCTCAAATAGTAGAGCATCAGGGGGCTGGGAAGGTGGCTCAGTGGTAGAACACTTGCCTTGCATGCCAGAGGCCCTGGGTTCGATTCCTCAGCACCACATAAGCAAAAAGAAAAAAGCCGGAAGTGGCGCTGTGGCTCAAGTGGTAGAGCGCTAACTTTGAGCTGAAGAGCTGAGGGACAGTGCCCAGGCCCAGAGTTCAGGCCCCATGACCGGACCCAAAAAAAAAAAAAAAATAGTAGAGCATCAGCCTTGAGTAAAAAAGCTCAAGAGACAATGCCCAGGCCCTGAGTTCAAGCCCTAGGACCAACACACACACACAGACACAAATATATATACACATATATATGCACGTATATATATATGCGCACGCGCGCACACACACACACACACACACACACACACACACAATCTAGGGGCAGGCTTGGACAGGAAAAACAACCAGCCTTAAATAGGGCTGGGGACATGACTCACGTGGAAATGCCTACCTGACAAACACCAAGGCCAAGCTCATTCCTAGTACCACACAAAGAAATGGCTGTGATGGCGTACTTCGTGTCCTGGGTGTCTTGCCACAACTTTAAAGAGGAAGCCATCCCCCACACACTCACCACATCGTCCTCGTAGCCGCCAGCCAGGACCAAGGAGTATGCCCCGTCGTTACTGCGGCCGTGGATCCCCGCCACATGAGGCCGGTGGACCCCGGATTCGCTGACCTGCCAGCACCCCAGGAGACAAAGGTCAGGCCTTGGCCACTCCATGACGTGTCCAGGCTTCCCCATGACCAATCCTACACCAGGGGACCCACACTACACCTGGGAGGCCCTGGGCAGCTCAACAAACCAGATGATGCTGTACCCCTGTATATAGGTCTCCGGCATCTCCTCCCCGGTACCTGACCCAGGGCAGGTCTATCACCACGGGGCTGATCTTGGCTGTGGAGGACTTCCATGAAAGTCTCCCCAGCCTGGGCGAGCGCTCAGGACCCGCTGTTTCTGTCCCTGGTGACCTCCAGCCTGCCTGCACCCTCCCGTGCCAGCCCAGGCCCACAGGCTCCAGCCTCTACCCTCTGCTCGGCTGCTAGGAGGCGGTGCCCATGCAGCCACGGGTACCTGGACACGGAACCGCCACATGGTGCCCACGGGGATGCCGGGGATGGGTCCATAGTGGTTGGAGGGGACGATGGTGCACTCCTTCGTGCGGCCAACACACGCCATGCCCTGTGCGCAGAGGACAGCAGGTGAGCACAGGCAGCAGAGCATGGGGAGCAGGGGGAGCACAGGCAGGGAGCACGGAGCGCAGGGGCAGAGGAACACAAGCAAGGGAGCAGGGGACGGGGAGCAGAGGGCAGGGGCAGGGGAAGCAGACGCAGGGAGAGCAGAGGCAGGGGAGGGGCGGGGAACGCCCCCACCTTGCCCCAGTCCCGCTGGGAGGACGAGGTTGCGGACGCCATCTTGGCCTTCTTCTTGCTCTCTCGCAGCCGCTCTCCTGCCAGCACCACCTCGCTGGCGTCGTTCCGGCACTCGGGACAGTACCTGCAAGGACAAAGGGTGGGTGAGTCACACGTCATTCTGCCCACAGGCCCAGACACAGCGGTCACCCAGCACCGCTCACTCCGTGCAGTCCAGAACCTGTGGCCACACAGCAGGCTTTCAAATGGGGACCCCGGGCCACCAGCCGTGACGCGCATGGGACGGGGGGGCTCTCCTTGCCGTTCAACTGCCAAGGACCCCAGGCCCTACCCACAGGGGCCACGCACAACGTGCACAGGCTCCCATCCATGACTCGGTTTCCCTATCTCCACAAAGTGGGAGGCAGGGGCAGTGGGGGGGGGAAGAGACTGTGACAGGCGCCCCTCCCCTGTCCCCCCCCCCAGGTCACAACTGAACCCAAAGCAACCTTCCACCATGTCCACTGCGAGTGATGGCACTGGCCACGGGGAGGTCCTCCCTCCGCTGCCCTCCACGTGTGCCCCGCCCCGGGGGGGGGGGGCAGGCCCCTCCCTCACCACTCGGCCTCGGTGGGCACGCTGCTGAGGGGCGGGCACAGGCAGTACAGGTGGTAGGCCATGTCACACTCGTCGCACAGCAGCTGCTTCTCGGGCGCCTCGCGGCCCCCGCAGAGGTGGCAGGCGCACACGCGGCACAGCTTGTTGGGGTCATCCTTGCAGTACTTGCAGGACGGGCCGCTCTTCCCTGGGCACAGGAGGGCTCGGTCAGCCATGCCACCCAGGATGGGGGGGGACCCCATAGCAGAAGGCCCAGGGTCAGGGGGCTGGCTGGAGGACTCACGTCGCAAAGGGTTATCCACCATGGGGCTTCCTTCGCCGGGGCGCTCAATCTTGAAGACTTCATCCACAAACACGATCCGACAGTCGTTGAGAGAGTTGTCCCTATGGGAGAATGTTCTGGAACATTAGAACATGCTAGCTGCTCAGCCCCGTGGCAGAGCAGCACAGATCACTGCTGAGGGGCAGGGGCCAGGCAGAAGGCCCCAAGGGCTGAGCTCAGCCTGGTGACTGTCTGGCCAAGCAAAGTCCTGCCAACCTAGACACTCCAGGCAAAACGGCGAAAACCACAGCTTCCAAATGTGCTGCGAACGACAGACCTGGCCAAAACCAGGGAACACGCAAGGCCATATACCAGATTCAACTGCAGGAACGCACAAATGAGCTGGGCACAGTGGCAAACACCTGGAATCCCAGCTACTTGGGAAGCTGAGATGGGAGGATCAAGGTTCTAGGCCAGCCTGGTCAAAAAGTTAGTGAGAGCCCCCTGCCATCTCGACCGATAAAAGCTGGACATGGGTGTGCACACCTAACATCTTAGCTATGCGGAGGCAAAAAATAGGAGCATCTTGGTTCATGCTCATGAGAACAAGAATGATACTCGATTTGAAAACGAAGCAGGAAAGCAAAAAAAGGATTAGGAATAATACCTCAAGTGACAGTACCTGCCCAGCAAATCCTAGGTCTTGAGTTCAAAACCCTAGTGCCACCACAAACATGAGCAAACCAAAAAACATAAAAGATTCACAATTTTCCTGTAGGTTCAGTTAAGTCCCATCTACCACAGATGAGCCCTGCTCACGTGGGTGAACTGCCCCATGTCTACACCCAAACACATACACACATGGAATGGGGTTCCTGTAAGCCAGTATATACCAAGTATCACTTCAACATGGGTGCCCATGCTCATGCTCCTGCCTGTAATCCCAGATACTCAAGAATCTGGGATCTAGCCGGGCGCTGGTGGCTCATGCCTGTAATCCTAGCTATTCAGGAGGCTGAGATCTGAGGATCTCGGTTCAAAGCCAGCCCAGGCAGGTAAGTTCATGAGACTCTTAGTTCCAATAAACCACCAGAAAACCGGAAGTGGCGCTGTAGCTCAAGTGGTAGAGTGCTCGCCTTGAGCTGAAGAGCTGAGGGACAGCGCCCAGGCCCAGAGTTCAAGCCCCACGACCGACCAAAAAAAAAAAGAAAAATAATAATCTGGGATCTGGTTCAAAGCCAACTGAGTAAAAAGGTCCACCAGACTCCATGACCACACTGGAGGTGTGGCTTATGTAGTAGAGTGCTAGCCATGAGCAATCAAACTGGGTGTAAATGAGAGGCCCTGAGGGTGTCAAGCCCAGCTCCCAGTATAAACAACAGACATTGAGACCCAGGCACCAGAATAATCATAATGTCCAGGCACCATGCATCACAGCCTGGGGATCCCAAAGCTGAGAGCAGGGACAGACTACTACTCTATGGATGTGGCCAGGACTTCTTACAAGGCTTTGGTTGCTACTGGCCAATCAGAAGATCAGTCCTGCTCATGGCAGACCTGGTTCTTCTTGAGCCATACCACCCAGCTGCACCTGCTACCAATGCACCCTTCACCATGATCCAGCTATCAGGTAGCTGAGATCACAGCTAACTACAGTACAGTCAGATAAAGACTGGAAAAAAAAGACAAAATGAAGTCTCAAAGGAAATGTTTCAATATGAAACTTAACTGGGCACTGGTGGCTCATGCCTACCATCTGAACTACTCAGGGGACTGAGATCTGAGGATCATGGTTTGAAGCCAGCCCAGGCAGAAAAGTCCATGAGACTCCTCTCTCCAGTTATCCACCAAAAAGCCAGAAGTAGAGCAGTGACTCAAGCAGGAGAGCACCAGCCTTGAGACCAAAGCTCAAGGACAGTGACCAGGCTCTGAGTCCAAGCCTCAAGACTGCCAAATCCTACACACAAAACAACAAAATACATGCCAAGCCAGGTGCTGGTGGCTCACACCAGCTAGCTACTCAGGAGGCTGAGATCTGAGGATCTCGGTTCAAAGCCAGCCTGGGCAAGAAAGTCTGTGAGACTCTTATCTCCAATGAACCACCAGAAAACCAGAAGTGGCGAGGTAGCTCAAGTGGTAGAGCGCTAGCCTTGAGCTGAAGAACTTAGGGGCAGTACTCAGGCAACAACAACAAAAAAAAAACATGTCAAAGCAGAGCTGAGAGAGAAACCTGTATCATGTAATGCCTGCATTAGATAAAAGAAAACAGCCTCACACCTATCATTCCAGCTACTTGAGAGGCTGAGATCCAGAGGCTCACAGTTCAAGCTAGCCAGGACAAGTTTCTCAAGACCCTATGTCAATCAGTAAAAACATGGGTAGAGTGACATGTACCTGTTATCCTAGCTTTATGAGTCCCTAAGTTAGAAGGATCACAGCGGGCTGGGAATGTGGCCTAGTGGTAAATTGCTTGCCTAGCATGCACGAAGCCCTGGGTTTGATTCCTCAGTGCCACATAAACAAAAAAAGCTGGAAGTGGCGCTGTGGCTCAAGTGGTAGAGTGCTAGCCTTGAACAAATGAAGCTTAGAGACAGTACCCAGGCCCTGAGTTCCAGCCATAGTACTGGCAAAAAAAAAAAAAAAAAAAGGGCCAGGTGCCGGTGGCTCACACCTGTAATCCTAGCTACTCAGAGGATCACGGTTCAAAGCCAGCCCAAGCAGGAAAGTCTGTGAGACTCTTATCTCCAATAAACCACTAGAAAACTGGAAGTGGTGCTGTGGCTCAAGTGGTAGAGAGCTTGCCTTGAGCTAAAGAGTGCAAGGACAGCGCCCAAGCCCAGAGTTCAAACCCCACGACCGACCAAAAACACAAAAACAAAAACAAAAAAGGATCACAGTCCACTCTAGTCTGAGCACAAATGCCAAGACCTTTTTAGAAAAAGAGGAGCTTGTTGTGGATATAATTACTAACTAAATGTATTTTTCAGTAATTCTCTGGGTACTATTTTGTAATTTTCCTTGAAGAAATTTCTAATGGCCATCTTCTCAATAATAGAATGCTTTCCCACAAAGATACCAAAAGGGTGACTTCAGAAGCAAGCCAAGAGGTCCTAAAGTGTGGGACACACACATATTTTTTTTGTTAATGTGCTTAGCAAAATTGGGTTGATTATGATGTGCTATTAAACATGTCTTTACCCTAGTTTAAAAGCAAAAAAAAAAAACATGCAAGCGGGCTCACGCCTATAATCCTAGCTACTCAGAAGGCTGAGATATGAGGATCACAGTTCAAAGCTAGCCTGGGCATGAGACTCTTACCTCCAATTAACCACCAGAAAACCAAAAGTGGCTAAAAGTGGTACAGTGGTAGCCCTGAGCAAAAGGACTCAGGGACAGAGCCCACGCCCTGAGTTCAAGCCCCATGACTGACAGAAAAAAAAAAAGATGGGGAGGGAAGGAAGGAAGGGAGGGAGGGAGGGAGGGAGGGAGGGAGGGAGGGAGGGAAGCTCAAATAGTATAGTACCACCTAGTAAACTCAAGACCCTGAAATCAAATCCCCAAGTACACATGTACACATGTACACACACACACACACAGAGGAAATGTCTCAAATTCAGAAACTTCCTGTATTAGAAAGGAGCAAGCTGAAAGAAGCAAAAGATCAGCAGTCAATGAATGGAACAGGGCTCGCATGACGGCACATGGAAGGCTGAGGCAGGACTGGCTTGACCCTGAGAGTCTGAGGCCAGACTGGACCACACAGTGAGACGCCATCTCAGAAACAAAACAGGACAAGCTGGGCGCTGGTGGCTCATGCCTGTAATCCTAGCTACTCAGGAGGCTGAGATCTGAGGATCGCGGTTCAAAGCCAGCCCGGGCAGGAGAGACTGTGAGACTCCTATCTCCAATAAACCACCAGAAAACCGGAAGTGGCGCTGTAGCTCAAGTGGTAGAGCGCTCACCTTGAGCTGAAGAGCTGAGGGACAGCGCCCAGGCCCAGAGTTCAAGCCCCACGGCCGACAAAAAAAAAAAAAAAAAAAAAGAAACAAAACAGGACAGTGATGACCAGGCAGACCACAGCTCACAGCTGGGGCTTGGCTCAGTGCTGGGTCTCACCGCACCCCAACAGCCCGCTTTGCACTCCCGTGACCTGCAGGAGGGCTCCTGACCCTCACACCCTCCTGTACCCTTCCAACAGCTTGGACAACAACGTGGGGACAGATAGGAAGCCTCCAGAGAGCCGTCTGTGGACCTGTGGGCCGGTACATGGCTGGGGACAGGGCGGGAAGGGCTCACCCCAGCATGACGTGGGCATAGAGCTCGCGTGCCGTCCGGGTCTCGCGCTTCCTGACAATCTCCGCGTCGTACCAGAAGCCCCGCTCCTTGGGGTGGTCAGGGTTGTAGTTGAGCATGACCACCTGACCCACCTCCAGATCCTGCCACGGGAGGATGGTGCGGGCACGCGCTCGGACATCCCTGGAGTTCATGGTCACCACGCCGTTCTCTGGGTAGCTGCAGGAAAGCCTTGGTCTAAGCCCGAGAGCTGCCACACAGGTTCTCTTCAGTGGGTAATGACCCCACCCCTGATGACCTCCCTAGCGCACTCGCGCTGAGCACAGGTCACAGGTGAGGGAGGGGAGCAGGCTGTGCACATCTTCCCAGGATGTGACCTCTTTTGGATATGGGGTCCTGGAGCAGACTTCAAGATGGGAGTCTTTATAAAACGGGACAGAAGGGCCAACATCACAGGAAGATGAAGGCAGGTGAAAGAGAGGGAAGGAGAGAGGAAAGGAGGAAGGGAGGAGGGGAAGAGAGAGGGGAAGAAGAGAGGAGGAAGAGGGAGGAGAGAAGAGAGAAGAGAAGGGAGGGAGAAGGGAAAGAAAGAGGAAAAAGAGGAGGAGAGGAAGGAAGAAGGGCCACAACTTCCAGAAAGCACAAAAAATTACAGCGACCACCAAGGCAGGTTCCCTCCCCAACCCCCCTAATATCCCACCCCCCCTGCCCCCGCCCCAGCCCCAGACCTGGCAGAGGAGGCTAGCCTGCCAACAGTCTGACCATGAACCTACAGCCAACACAAACCAGAGAGAAACAATTCCCATATTCATAAACGACCCACTTCATGACACTGGCTTTTTGGCAGTACTGTGATCAGAAGTCAGGGACTCCCACTTGCCAGGGAGATGAGATGCTCTATGTATGGCCTGGGCCCACCCCCACCAACTTAGCCACACCCCATCTCCTGACCACACCCTAGAGAAATGCATAAATAGGAGAGTCCCAAGTCCAGGACTGGTCAGGCATAAAAGATAGATGATTTGGGGCTGGGAATTTGGCTCAGTGGTAGAGTGATTGTCTCGCATACAGGAGGCCCTGGGTTTGATTCCTCAGCACCACATAAACAGAACTCAGTGACAGTGCCCAGGCCCAGAGTTCAGTCCCACTACTGACAAAAAAGAAAAAAAAAAAGATAGATGACTTATAAAAGAAAAAGACGCCGGGTTCCCGTGGCTCATGCCTGTAATCCTCGGAGGCTGAGATCTGAGGATCACAGTTCAAACCCACCTGGGCAGGAAAGTCCATGAGACTCTTATCTCCAATAAACCACTAGAAAACTGGAAGTGGCACTGTGGCTCAAGCGTCAGAGCGCTCGCCTTGAGCTGAAGAGCTGAGGGACAGCGCCCAAGCCCAGAGTTCAAGCCCTAGGACCGGCAAAAAAGAAAAAGGCAACAGGCACTGTGGCTCATGCCTGTCATCCTAGCTACTCAGGAGGCTGAGATCTGAGGATCACCATTCAAAGCCAGCCCAGGCAGAAAATTCCATGAATCTTATCTCCAATGAAGTGGCACTATGGCTGGAAGTGGTAGAATGCTAGTCTTGAGTGAAAAAGCTCAGGGACAGCGCCCAGACCCTGGATTCAAGCCCTAGGCCCAGCATCAAACAAAATAATAATTAATGCAATTAAAAGAGGCTGCAGGTGTGGCTCCGTGGTAGGGAGTCTGTCTAGCAAGCACAGGGCCCTGAGTTCAAATCCCAGGAGAGAAAGGAAGAGAGAGACAGAGAGAAGAAGAGAGGGAGGGAGAGGGGGCGAAAGGGGAAGAGAGAGAAGAAATGGAGGGAAGGGAAGAGAGGAGAGGAAAGAGGGGAAGACTGGGGAGCGGGGAGAGGTGGCAGAGCTGACAGCTGTAATTGAGTCAGGACCGCACAGGTCCCCCCTGGCCAACACCTTATCCTTGGGCCTCCAGTGGGCAAAACCTAAGAACACAGGTGTATGGATTAAAACCTGACCTGACCCGGGGCAGAGGCAGCCTGAGCAGACCAGACACCATCCCTGAGGGCAGACGCGCCATTCCTGTCCCCAGCTGGGGCCTGGGACGCAGGGAGCAGCCGGGAGGGAGAAGAAGGCACGGTCCCAGAGGATCCCATAATGAGCACAGAGGGAAGAAGGAGCGAGGGGAGGAGGAGCCCCTGCGTCCACCCTGGTCACTCACGGAAAGCCCCCGGTGTGATCACCCCGCTGGGCCCCGCCCCACCACACAGGGCACTCACTCGTCATATTTCACCCGGTACACAATGTCCTCCTCCAGGGTCGGGATGGCCGCGGAGCTGCAGGGCTCCTCCAGGGTCGGGGTGGCCGCGGAGCTGCAGGGCTCCTCCTGGGCCGGAGCCTTCCTTAGCACCTGTACCACCTGCGCCTCAAACCACGCACCCATGCTAGTGTCCCGGGCATCCACGTACTCGTTCACCTGCACGCAAGAGCAGGCTTACTCAACCTGGGACCGTGGGGAGAGTGGGGCAGGGGTGGGGGCAGCAAGGCAGGGGTGGGGGCAGCAGGGTTTGTTTGGGCCTCAGGCAAGGATGCCAACTCAGACCCCCGCAATAGGCTGGCAGCTGCAGGGTGATGCACACTGCGGGGCGTGGGGGTTTCTGCGGGCCACCTGGCTCCCAAGTTGTGCCAACGTTGTGCCCAAACCCGGTCCAGGGGGCCTGGGGTAGGAGACCTGCCTAGGTGAGAAGCAGTGCCTCGTTAAACAGGAGCCACAGGCCCGGCCAGACACTATTCAGCCACAGCCACAGCTTCCAGATTGTCCAGAGGTGCTAGAAACCCAGACCTTCCTGTGCAACTTCTAGAAAGTTCCACCATTATGTGGGTCCCATGGCCCTGACACTGGTCCTAGCTTCAGTCACCAGGGATCCAGGACCCCCCGCCAAGACCCACCCATGAGTGCCCCCCAGGACCACAGGAGACCCCAGGTGCCCAAACAGATGGTGCCCAGGGTGCCCCTGTCCTGGTGTGCCAGGCCGGTGGCGGGCCTCAGGCCTCCTCCTGGCAGCCGCGTGGGCCTTACCTTGTACAGCCCCAGGTCCGTCTCGTCCAGGGCATCCTTGTCGCCCGCTGCCTCGCCGTGGGTGGAGGATTTGTCAGACTCGCTCTGGCCCAGGCAGCAGCCAGAGTCGGTGTCTGACAGCTCGGAGTCTCTCTCCTTGGAGCTGGACGGCAGCACCAGGCTCTGCCGCACCAGCAGCTGGATGGTGTCATTCAGGCGCACGTCATAATCGAAGAGAGTGTGGCCGTCCTCCATCTGCAGAGGTGGACACAGGGGACGCTTGTCCTGTGCATGTCAGGGGCTGCAGGTGGGTGGGGGAGGGGGGAGGGGAGGGGAGGGGGAGGGGATGGAGGACCACAGAGCCCAATGTGTCTGGGCCACTGATAGCCGCCGGCTCTCGATCAAAGACGAGTGCCCACGAAACATCTGGCCAAATCTGGAGACATCGGTGGTCATCCCAACAAGGGTATCAGGCAACAATTCTGCCCTGTATAGTCAAGAGGACCTGCATGGCTTGGCTAGCTCCCTCGTTTTCCCTTCTGAACCCACCCTCCACCCCATGCTCTGAGCATACGCAAGGGTCCAGCTCTGAGCAGCCCACACACACCCAGCAACCTCAGCTTCCCCTCTGCCCGCCCTAGGACCCATCACTGCTCCTAGCAGAGGCCTTCTCCTCACAGACCAGGAGCACCCAAGTCAACAGGTTCCCAGCCTGTTCTCTAGCAAGGAAGAGAGGGAGGGAGATGAGGAACTAAGACCTCCTGTTCTTCCCATGCTAGAGGTCAAAGGCCTCGCCTGGCCTGACAACAGCTAACTGGGCACAGGTGCCCTGCTCATCGCTTCAGCTCACCCCGGCTGCAGGCAGGTCTCTCAGGTGGCCAAACCCCAGCCTGGAGCCCAGGCTGGAAGGTGAGGTCCCCAAATACAACACATCTGCCTGTTCACTCAGCACACAGGGGGAACCCCTGGGGGTCGACACAGCTCTGCACCAGCAGAGGTGCCAGGGATGGAAGGAGGGGCCAAATCAACTCGCACATAAGTCACACACATCACACACCATCAGTCCCAAGAGGAGATCACCAATCCACCACCAGACAGACAGACAGACAGCACGGTCAGCCCCACACTGGGGCACCATGCTCCGACTCTACTACAGCATGGAGGGATACTGAGGACAACATGCTCGGTGACAAAAGTAGTCATGAAAGGCCCAAAATATTCTGGAAACATCCAGATGGGATGAATCCAGAGATGGAAGAAGGGAACGGGGGCAGAGGGCATAGAAGGGCTCAGAACTTCCTTGAGATGAGGTGTTCTAAAGGCTCACTGCAATGGTTTCACAGCTGTGAGTGGACCTAAGAACAATGGGGGAACTCGAGGCTCTGTGAACCCACAGTGGATGCCTGCAACACTCAGTAGGCATAGGCAAGAGGATTGCATGAGTGGGGTGCAGTATGGGCTGCGTACCCTAACAACAAAAAAAAAGCTGCTGGACGCCAGTGGCTCACACCTGTAACGCTAGCTACTCAGGAGGCTGAGATCTGAAGGTCCAGGTTCAAAGCCAGCCCAGGCAGAAAAGTCCCTGTGAGACTTTTATCTCCAATTAACCTCTCAAAAGCCAGAAGTGGCGCTGTGGCTCAAGAGGCTCAGGGACAGTACCCAAGTCCTGAGTTCATAACTGACAAGAAAGAAGAGGGAGAGAGAGGGAGACAGAGGGAGAGAGAAGGAGAGAGAGGGAGAAGGAGAGAGGGGGGGGGAGAGAGGAAAAGAAAGAAAGAAAGAAAGAAAGAAAGAAAGGGAAGGAAGGAAGGAAGGAAGGAAGGAAGGAAGGAAGGAAGGAAGGAAGGAAGGAAGGAAGGAAGGAAGGAAGGAAGGAAGGAAGGAAGGAAGAAGGAAAGACACCTAACCTGAAGGCAGGGAAAGGAGGAGGAAACTGAGGGAAAGCAAAGAAAGGGGTGACACTGAACCAAAAAACAAAGAAAAGAAAGACATACCTGACTTATGAAATGGTAACCTCTCTGTACAACATCTTAAAAATAAAACTATTAAAAAGAGAAAAAGCTGGGTGCTGCTGACCTGTGACTGACTGTAACCATAGTTACAAAGGAGGCTGAGAGCTGGGGATTGTGGTTCAAAGCCAGCCTGGGCCCATGAGACTCATCTCTAACTACCTAAAGCAGGAAATGGGAGCTGTGGCTCACAGTGGTAATGCACTCAGGACGCTGTGCCTAGGTCCTCAGTTCAGGCCCCAGGACCAGCACATAAAAAAGGGGGGGGAGGGGAACAGGGAAACAGCAGGGATAGGCTACACAGTGCAACTACAGCTAGAGAACATTCTGGAGAAGGTGGAACTCAGGAAAGACACAGAAGGATCTGGTTGCTAGGGAAGGAATGACGAACGGGGAGCCCAAGAGACCACTGTGCGATCCGCCCTGCTGGACACCTTGCCCACTCACATGACGCCCCCAGAATGGCTGCGGGACTGAAGGCTGTTTGGAGGGCATTGGGGTGCGAGCACTACCCCCGCACTTCTCAGTCTAAAACGCAGGAGTCTTCCTAGCCACTTTATAGAGATGCCACTGTCCCAGGCACAGGGAGAACTCAAAGGACGAGGTGCTCCAAGATGGTTCTGTGAGCACAGTGCGCCCCACTGGGTTGTTCTCAGGGTGTCCCTAGGGGAGCAGCACTGCCCGGGAACACCACCAGGTAGAGCTGCGGCCACACGTGCCCAAGGGTGGCACACAGCAGTCACGGTTACCCCTGCATGGCGCCTGTATCGCCACTGGAAGGGCAGGGTGGTAGAGGGCAGGCCCCACATCGGCAGACATGGTACCACCAGGAAGAAGCTATACTCTACCAAACACAGGGAGAATGGCCGTGGATCCGCCTCCACAGGAAGAGGAAGTGACACTTGGGGAGGGCAGGCGGCATCGCATCAAACCAGAATGACGGGACAGCAGAGCCTAACTGGGCTAGCCCACAAAGACTGCGGGGGAGAGGAGGTAGTGAAGCAAGAGGTGGCAGCTGCTAGGGACAGAGGGTGACAGCAGAGTCCTGACCCAGGCAGAGGGGGGCGTCCAGGACTGGGCCCAGCCCTGCAGGCTGCCCTGTTCCTCTCCCTCACCCTCTACATTCCTAGGACCACACTGGGGGCTGGGCCCTCAGCTGCCACCAAGGCCTTGGGGAGCCCAGGATGCCCCTGGCTGGGGAGCTTGCAGTCTACATGGAGGGGGCTGCTGGACTATGACTCTGAGGGAGGATATCTTACAAGCTGGCTGGGCTGCTTCCTGCAGAGGCCACTTCTGGAAGTTTCCAGAAAGGCCCACAGAGGGCAGGTACCAGCTTGTACAAGCAGCTGCCAGGGACAGAAATAAGGCCCCTCCCCCACTGTGCACAGGATCTCCTCTGCACAAGCGCAGACGTGTGTGTGCGTGCACGCATGCGCGCGCACGTGCGCGCTCTCTCTCACCTGGCCAAGACTAGCGCTAGTCAGTTACAGCCACTGAACCTTCATGTTTGGTTCCAAGAACTTAAATCCCCACCGGCAGTCAATGGTATTAATAAAAGCAACAGACAAAGCTGGCAAGACTGCCGCAGGTGTTTCTGTTGTTAAAAATTAAACATGGAGCTTGATTCATGCTTGTAATCCCAGCTACTCAGGAGACTGAGATCTGAGGATCACAATTCAAAGCTAGCCGGGACAAAGGAAAATCCACGAGCTCTCATCAGAAAAAGCTGGAAGTGGCCCTCCCTGTGGCTCAAGAGGTAGAGTGCTAACCTTGAACAAAAACAGCTCAGCTCAGGGACAGCGCCCAGCCGCAGGCTGGTGGAGGGAGGGGAGGATGATATGTACTCATTACCAGATTTATGTAACTATAACCTCTCTGTTCATCACCTTTACAATTAAAAAAAAAGCAGGAAGAGTGTAATGCATGGACACTGCACTATCAGATGACTTAGGGAACTGTAACCCCTTTGTATAACTACATAGTATAATTAAGAAAAGTCCAAACACAGGAGGTTGAGATCTGAGGACGGCGGTTCAAAGCCAGCCCGGGCAAGAAAATCCGTGAGACTTATCTCCAATGAATCACTCAGAAAACCGGAAGTGGCGCTGTGGCTCAAGTGGTAGAGCGCTCGCCTTGAGCTGAAGAGCTGAGGGACAGCGCCCAGGCCCAGAGTTCACGTTCACGCCCCACGACCGACAAAAAAGAAAAAGATGAAAGACAGAAGATAGACCACGGAAGGATGGCGGGAGCCCCAGGACAACCAGACAGGGTGCAGCCAAGGTTATACAGAGGGCTACAGACAAGGACCACTGGGAAGGAAAAGCAAGCTGGTGCGTGCGGCCGAGGCGGAGGCGCGCCCCGCCCTGCTGGCGGGAGGAGGAAAAGCAACAGGGATCGCGAGAACTGGAAGATCGCGAGAAAAGAGAGGCCTGGGAAATTGAGTGTGACCTGGCCGTGATGTTGCTGGGACCGCTGACGTCACCAACAGGGACGCTGGCAGCAGGAAGGCGCATGCGTGCGGGAAGTCAGGCGCCAGGGCCGGGGCCGTGCGCACGTAGCGCATGGGCCGCATGGTCCCATTCTTAGGCCATTTTCTCGTCCACCGGGAACGCTTAGGCCAGGCGTACAGCCGGGGCGCCTGGCAGTCCGTGCATGGCCTGGCTGCAGGGTGCCTGGGCGGTGACTGGCCGGCGGGGCCCAGCAGGCCTCTGGAGAGGCTGCGGGCGGCCACGCAGGCGTGATCGCTGGCAGTGACAGCGGCCTTCGCCCCGTCCAGACATCCCAGGGCACCCCACCAGCAGGGACACGCCTTACATCCCACTTAGAAGTAATTTAAGAAAAGCCAGGCGCTGGTGGCTCACGCCTGTCATCCTAGCTACTCAGGAGGCTGAGATCTGAGGATCTTTGCCGGGCAGGCAAAGACCATGAGACTCTCATCTCCGAAGAACCACCAGAAAACCAGAACTAGCGCTACGGCTCAAGTGGTTGAGTGCTCCCCTTGAACACAAAGAGCTGAGAGACAGCGCTCAGGCCCTGATTTCAAGCCCCAGGACAAAAGAAAAAAAAAAGTCCTTTAAGAAAAGCCAGGAACTGATGGCTCATCTGTGTAACTGCTCAGAAGACTTAAGCTCTGGAAGATCAGGGTTAAAAGCCAGCCTGAGGCAGAAAAGTCTGCAAGATTCTATCTCCAAAACAACCAGAAAAAAGCCAGACTGGAGGCATGGTTCCTCATCCCAAGTGGTAAGG